AAAGCCTTTCTGAAGTCAATGTACACGACGTTGACTAATAAACCCATTTCGGCTGTCTTCGTCCAGCTCTCCATGGATACTGGCAGGTTAGTAATCAGTTATCTGTATGAATTGAGGTTAACATTCACTTGATGCTGTAATAATTTCGCATTGTAGTCAATTCTTTCGATTTTTGCAACGAACAAGTAGTTCAAAGGCGTAAGCATATTCCCCTCAAATGCAATGAACACTGAAAATCATAAGACTAGGGCACATTCTGTGGTTTCTTAGTTCTATTTCCAATCTTTTGTTGGAGCAATATCAAGGGTTTTTGGGTCTGTTGGGAGCGCCTACACTCCCAAAAGCAAGAGCCAGCCAATCACGGGAGGCCACGTGCGTTTTCTCTCTGCGCTGTCATCTTACTCGTGGCGCCTCTCCATTGGCTTTTCCTCTCGGGCCTGATCGATCAGCATATTCGAATTATCAACCGGCTCGTCTCGAATGTTCTTCCCGAAGGGCATTGGGCCGAACGCCGGCGAAGCACCGTAGGGCGTTATAAATGCGCGTTACTTCCAGTTAATTTTGACTTGCAATTTCCTAATACACAGTTTCGTGGCCGGTCGCGCTCACCCTCTCTGCCGCGTTGGTATTGGGGACAAGGGTCGAGTGCGCATACGCTCCACAGGATTTCACGTACCAGGCGGGTCATAACAAATTGGCGACGCAGTTTTTCAACTACAATGGCTGACGAGTACGCAGACTTGAAGCTGATATTGCAGCAGCAGCTGAAGCTACTGGAAGCACTTACCGTTAAGCAGTCCAACTCGTCCATGGGTCATTTAAGTGCGGCTGGTGGTTCGTAATTTGTTGATCACATTGCCGGCAGCATCACAGAATTCTTGTATGACCCGCAGGCCCATATCACCTTTGATTCCTGGTACAAACGATACGAGGACTTGTTTTCTGTCGATCTGGCTGCCCATGACGATGCATGGAAGGTTCGACTCCTACTTCGCAAACTGGGTCCGGCTGAACACGAGCGTTATGCAAACTTCATCCTCCCCAAGAATCCCCGAGAGGTCGCTTTCAAGGACACGGTTGAGACGTTGTCGCAGATTTTTGGTGATCAATGATCCCTTTTCAACACTCGATTCCAGTGCCTGCAGCTGTGCAAACGCGATTCCGATGATTTTATCACGTATGCGGGCATTGTCAATCGTGAGTGTGGGCGTTTTCAACTCGGTTCTCTTACTGAAGACCAGTTTAAATGCCCTATTTTTATCTGCGGCCTCCAGTCTCCCAAGGATGCTGATATCCGGACACGTCTCCTGTCCAAAATGCAGCAGAGCAACTCTATCACACTCCAAGAGCTGGCAGCAGAGTGCCAAACGCTGATCAATCTCAGGCACGACTCTGCAATGATTCAGAACCCTGCCTCATCTTTCTCAGTCCATTCGGTCACATCGACCAAATCGCGGCCCAAGCAAGTGTCCAAGGCGAGATCTCCGCCATCTTCTTGTCGGCACTGTGGCGCGTGGCATTTCCACCGGGATTGCACTTTCCGCCAGCATCGCTGCCAAAGCTGTAATCAGGTGGGACACCGTGATGGGTTTTGCAAATCAGTATCAACTTCTGGAGGCAAGCCGACCCCCGCCATTCCTAATTCCAGGCATCGTTTCCGGCCAAAACGCAAGTCCAAACTCCAGTCCGTTGGTAATTCTCTGAGTCTCTTGGCCGCTTTCCAGCTCAATGCGTCTGGTCGTAGAAAATTTGTTGACGCTTTGCTCAATGGCCATGCAGTTCGCCTACAGTTGGACACTGCCTCAGATATCACCATCATCTCTGAGAGACTCTGGCAGTCCCTTGGCAGCCCCACCATCCAGCATAATTCCCAGACCGCCACAAGCGCGTGCTGTGGTCTCGTCAGTTTATTGGGCAACTGCAATGCTGTGTGTCGTTCCGCGGTACCAGCATCACCGCGATCTGCTACATCACTAAGTCTAACCTCCACCTACTTGGTCTCGACTGGATTGAACAACGTGGTTTGGCCGATATGCCGCTCCGCGTTGTTTGCAGTCAGGTGCAGATTCCCGCTGTGCTTGCAGACCAAGCCAAGGACATTCTCCAACGGTTTGCTCCAGTGTTCCAAGACGGTCTGGGTCGTTGCACATACACTCAAGCTGTGCTACATCTGTCTCCTGGAAGTCAACCAGTCTTCAGTCCAAAGCGACCAGTCCCATATGCAGCTCTACCACTTGCCGAGGCTGAACTGAAGCGTCTAGAGGAATTGGGAGTTCTGGTTCCTGTATCCTACTCCGCCTGGGCCGCTCCAATCGTTGTGGTTAAGAAGCCCAATGGCTCGATTCGCATTTGTGCTGACTTCTCCACCGGTCTCAATGCCGCACTGACGCCGAACTGCTATCCATTACCGGTTCTGACTGATCTTTTCACCCTGCTGAATGGTAGCACTTGCTTTGCCAAGTTGGATCTCGCTGACGCGTATCTGCAGAACGAGGTCGCCCCAGAGTCGCGCGAATTGTTGACCATCACTACCCACCGCGGTCTGTTCCAATACACCAGGCTGCCGTTTAGTGTCAAGACCGCCCCGGCCCTATTCCAACAAACGATGAACGCAATGCTCTCCGGCATCCCTGGCACAGCTGGGTACCTGGACGACATCATCATCGTGGGTCGCTCCCCTGCCGAGCTGCAAGACCGAGTGTGCGCAGTACTCGAACGCGTGCAGGAATATGGCTTTCGCCTACGAGCCGACAAGTGCCAATTCTTCCTTGACTCCATCAAGTACCTTGGATTCGTTTTTGACGTCACTGGTCGCCATCCAGATCCTAAAAACATTCGGGCCATCCAACGGATGCCTGCACCCAAGAATGTATCGCAACTTCGTTCGTTCCTTGGCCTGATCAGTTACTATAGCGCCTTCCTACCATCGCTGCATGACGTACGGGCCCCGCTCAACCGTCTGTTGCAGAAGGATGCTCCTTGGTGCTGGTCCCCCGACTGTGAAAAGGCCTTCGCCCAGCTAAAGTCGATGCTGAGTTCAGATCTGCTGCTCACGCACTACGACCCGACGCTGCCGATCGTTGTTGCTGCAGATGTTTCCAACCACGGAGTTGGTGCCGTCATCTCACATACTTTTCCTGATGGGCCTGAAAAGGCGATCATGCATGCATCTCGCACTCTAACCCCTGCGGAGAAGAACTATGGGCAAATAAAGAAAGAAGCTCTAGCCCTCGTGTTTGCCGTCAAGAAATTTCACAAACTGTTGTACGGTCGCCACTTCACGTTGTTGACGGATCACAAACCATTGCTGTCAATCTTCGGTTCGAAGAAGGGCATTCCCGTCTACTCAGCCAGCCGACTTCAGCGATGGGCAACCATCCTTCTTGGCTACGATTTCGAAATTCGCTACTGTCGTACTACAGACTTTGGTCAGGCTGACGCCCTTTCTCGCCTCATCAGCAATCAGCAGGAACCAGAGGAAGATACCGTGATTGCCGCTATTTCGATTGAGGACGATGTGCGCCGTCAGTTATCAGACGCCATACGAGGTATCCCTGTCACTGCCGCGGACATCCGCATGCTACTGAACTGGATCCTGTCCTCCGTCAGGCCATCTCCTACGTGCAGACCTGCTGGCCAACCACTGCTCTCGCTGGTAATCTTCGTCAGCTCTTCCTCTGACGAGCATCGTTATCTGTGGTTGACTCCTGCCTCCTGTTTGCGGACCGTGTGGTGATCCCATCTTCCCTCCGATCCACTGTACTACGCCAGTTCCATGCCGCTCATCCTGGTACCAGCCGAATGAAGTCCATTGCTCGCAGTTTTGTTTACTGGCCGGGTATCGACGGCGACATCGACGACCTGGTTCGACGCTGTTCTCGATGTCAGCAAGCTGCCAAGATGCCGCCCCGTCAACCGCCAGTACCCTGGGAACCATCAGAGAGGCCTTGGTCACGCGTGCACATCGACTTCGCTGGCCCACTTAACGGAGTCTCCTACCTAATCTTGGTTGACGCCTACTCCAAGTGGCCCGATATTGCTCCGCTGAATCCAGCAACCGCATCTGCCACTATCGCCTTCCTACGACGCATCTTTAGCCAGCATGGCTTACCAGAAGTCCTGGTTTCAGATAATGGCTCTCAGTTTATCTCGTCGGCGTTTGAAGATTTCTGCCGCCAGCACAACATCCAGCATCTTCGCTCCCCGCCCTACCATCCTCAGTCTAACGGTCAGGCGGAGCGTTTTGTCGACACTTTTAAGAGAGCACTTTTGAAGGCTCGTGGGGAGGGGACCACGGACGAGATAGTCCAGGCGTTCCTGTTTTCCTACAGGACAACACCGAACCCGGCGTCCCCTGGTGGCGTTTCTCCTGCCGAAGCGTTGATGGGCCGAAAACTGCGGACAACAATTCATGCACTCGTCCCTACCGGTGCGCAGCCCGCGCAGACTTCTCCAGTCTCTCGCAGCATGCTCTCCATCGGAACATCTGTCTTCGTCCGTGATTATCGAGCGGGGTTCCCAGACTGGATTGAAGCAACCGTAGTAGCGCACAGAGGCAGTATGTTGTTTGACGTCGACGTTGGTGATGACATCTGGGTTCGCCACCACAACCAGATCCGACAGCGACACTGCAGTAACACAACTAGGCTCGAGTCGGCGCCGTCACTCTCCCTTGACATCCTACTGTATACCTTCGCCATTCCGGCAGATTAGTCGGTTCCCGAACCCACTTCTGCGCCTCCTTCTGATAAACCATCTTCGGTATCAGTTACCGCTCCCGTATCTCCAGGCATTAAACCACGACTAAGACGCCGGACCAACCGCGTGCGCCGATCAACACGTCTGATGCAGGTCAACCCACGCCAGAAGCGGTACTGACCTACTTGGAGGGGAGGTGTTGGGAGCGCCTACACTCCCAAAAGCAAGAGCCAGCCAATCACGGGAGGCCACGTGCGTTTTCTCTCTGCGCTGTCATCTTACTCGTGGCGGCTCTCCATTGGCTTTTCCTCTCGGGCCTGATCGATCAGCATATTCGAATTATCGACCGGCTCGTCTCGAATGTTCTTCCCGAAGGGCATTGGGCCGAACGCCGGCGAAGCACCGTAGGGCGTTATAAATACGCGTTAATTCCAGTCAATTTTGACTTGCAATTTCCTAATACACAGTTTCGTGGCCGGTCGCGCTCTCCCTCTCTGCCGCGTTGGTATTGGGGACAAGGGTCGAGTGCGCATACGCTCCACAGGATTTCACGTACCAGGCGGGTCATACCAGGGTCAGGGTATGTAATAATGATAATAATGCAGGCATTAACAAAACAAATTCGGATCAGGAATTAGCCAACACCGAAAAAGTCTGGACATTTAAGAACACATTTGGTTGCCTTGAACATCTACAGTGTCCTTTAGCATTGGGTTTTTTGGGAGATAGGTGTAGCTTGTGGGATGACCGTTATCCAGAGCGGGAATCGTCGGTTACGCCGGCCGCTGTACTTCCCATGTTCCATTCCGTGTATATGGTTGTGGTAGTGAATTAGACGAAGAGATCAAAGACTGAACAACCGACCGGTCAAGGCTCTTCAAAACAACAGAGAGGGTGTTGGATTACCGAAAATAGGCAAATGATGTGGAAGGCTCTGTTTAAGAGGAAGAACGAAGTGCGATTATTTGCATGAACTTAACTAAGTTTCAATAATAAGAACGAGATTAAATACCCCAGTGGTGCAGGCGGAGATGTATGGCCTTTAGCAGGCTGACCGAGACACAGTCAAGGCCTGGACTATGAGGCTGTCGATATGCCGATAACAATACCTCTGCCAGTACCAGGCATCGCTATTGGCCTTTTGGTCATGGCAGTTATTTTTCGGAAAGGGGACGTTTTAGTTAGCAGGCTTCATATTAACGTCGGCTGTTGTGTTCCCGGTTAGATTTTGATCAATGAAATATTTGTTTATATGTGGGTTCTCATTGGGCAAAAATAATGATCGCAGTAATAATGGCGGTTCCTACTTCTTTGTTAATGATATAGGTTTTAACATCACGCGTCCAGGAAGCGTTATTAATGCAAGGATTGTAGTGATTTAAATGGCAAAATACGAAGAACAATGTTGGTCTTGAATTCTGCATGGAGAATCGGCCGATAAAATGGAATTTGGAAAAGGCGTTATGTAAATTTGAAAACGTTTCCGATATCAGCCACTGATTTGTACTCTTTGCATTCAAAAC